CAGAGAGAAACTCTGTAGCACCTTGCTATGCAGAGGCCTGCGGTAGCTTTTGTGCTCAAGAGTGCCACACATTTTTCCTCAAGAATCAAGTAAATTTTTGTGAAGTTAAATGTTCTACAAGTTATATAATTATGTAAGTGCTTAGGACACTTATATTTGCTTAATTTTAGGCTTTCTGAGAAGTAGACTACAATACCAAACTTTAAAACATGGTATTTGTTCTTGCCATTAGTTATCCATAAGTTCTCTATTTCCTGCTCTGAAATACTAACAAATACTGCAAATCACATTGAAATCAAATCACCTGGAAGAAGCTGAGATCCAACAATACAGAACTCCATACAGCATAGGGTTAATGAGTAACAAAAAGCAAGGATAATAATGCCTTGACAAGCATTTAGCCCCCAAATTGCTTAACAAAACTAATCATAATGCTTGCTGGTTTTTTCCCCTTCCAACTTATGTGTCAAAGCTTGTTCCTTCAAGCAGGAAAAATACCTTATGAAAAGAACAGCCTTAAGAACTATCAAATAGTAACTTTAACAATGTAGTTAATTTTTCTTGTTTCTTTTCATGCTAGGTGTATTAATTTTAATCTACCCAGTCTGAATCACCTCTGAAGGAGCTTTTAATATTGACTTTTGCTCTACATTAAACATACTTCTTGGCACAGTGTGCTTGGTCAAACCATGCTTCTGGGTAGTGCTATATGCTCAATAACGAGGTTTCTATTTGTGTAATTTCTCACTTGTACCTCCCCTAAAACGCTGGCTCCCGGCACAAGAATATCACCCAACTAAAAAAAATTTAGAAGAACTGTCTTTTTTTAAAGACAATCAAACACTGTGTACCTAACGTGTAATGGCACCAACCATTCAGGATCTTGAGTAAGCCATCAGGAGACACTTTCTAGTAGTCCTGCAAGTGTCCTGAAAACACTGCTTGATCAAAGCACTGGGCAGTGGTTCATCAACCACAATGCTCTGAAGGCTCAAGCATCAAAGAAAGACGCTGGATTTCAAGACAGAGATAAGAATTGTTACCTGAGATAGTGAAGGTTTCACCAAGCAGAGCCCTCAGCCACTAAGATCTATCCCAACTCGCACCCATCATCACCAGATTACAGCATAACCACCTTTGTTGTGGTGGTCCCCATTTAAGTATCGGCCAAAATTAAGGGTGAAGAAGTTCTCCTGCCACATAGCAAAGGACCATCTCAGATGAACAGAAGATGCCTATGGCATAAAGGTGGAATCAGTGAACTGCTCACACCTAACTCTGCAGATTATGGCACAATCTGGTTCTCTGCTGCTCAGGCACTGCCTGCAAAACCAGAAGAAGTCATTCCCATCACTTCCAGAGCGATTCAGAACTATTACATAGGCCAGTGGATTCTGATCTAAAGACCCGTCTTATCACACCATGTCCTTCCCAGTTGACCTAAGAAAGAAGCGTCACCACTTGTGACCATGACACAAAGCATTTCATTCTGAGAAAAATACTCCCTTCATCACTCAAAAAACCTCAGTAACTGAATCAGATGTGAGCAACACCTTCAACACACAAGATCTACCTAAATTTCACCCTTAAACTCTGTGAATGAGTCTGGGACCGAGAATTTCAGTTCACCTATTGCAGTCAGGTGCCTGTAGCCCAACACAACTGATTCTGCCTGAACTTTTGTCAAACTCAATTTCCTCCTGACAGCAACTGAGGGACAGACATTGGCTCTTATCTCAACCTCTTTGCAGGATTTAACATCACTGCCCCTGAGCTATTTTTGCCTTGCCAGAGAGGAATGAGAAGCAACCAGTGCATGGAACAGTTCAGCTCCTTCCTTGAGGATGGTAATATGGAACCTAAACAAAGGGTTGCCCAAAACATTAGAAACTATTGAGTATGACTGGGAATACAATAATTAGGCAAGACAAAGGTTGATATCATCTCCGCTGCAGATGTCCACCTTCAGATGATCACACAGAGGAGGGGGAGGCTGCTGGATCATCCCTTGCTGCTACAAGCTGCTCTTCACGCAGTTGTTGCTCCTAGAGGCCGCTGCCCTTGCCATCTAGCTTGTAGAACCCAAACTCTGAAGCACCGCAGCAGACTGAGCATGCTATCCTAGCTGACAAAATATTCTTAGATGCTGTGCTTGAATTTTTAAGAAGTCCCCAACTTTATTACAGCTAGCAGGTTGATAACGTACCATCTAAAATAAATATTCAGGAAGACTTGTTTTCTGCTTCAGCTTATCAAATGCTACAGATACAGGATTTGCAACTGAAACCAGTCTGTTCAAATGTTGAACTAGCTTTAGACAGCAGTAGCTACTGTCAAGGAGGTGCAGAGAAAGCACTTTCCTCCTTTCAGTTTATTCAGCTATTCCAACAACAGAGAGAAAGGCTGTATTTTCCCAAGATTCCAAAAGCTGATGTTACCAGCTCCGAGATTTCCACAGGCACAAATCAAGCATCTCTATTCCCTATCAACAATCATTAACACTTTCTTTATTAAGGTCACTCTAAACACAGGTTTTCCTTAAAATATTTATACTGTAGCTTAACTAGAAGCCTTTGTTTTTCCCCTCCAGTTCCTACCCTTAAACTACACTTCAAGTGGACGAAAGTTCTAAACTCTCATTGCCACAAAGCTGAAAAAAAAGCTACATCCTGTAATTGCATATTTCTAGTCCTGCTTACCTAACCTTAGTAAACTAAAAACACAAAACAAGATGAAGCTAGATATTACACCAAGTCAAGAAATATGAGAAATGAAACAGAGGCAAAGCAAGCACTAGTTCAGAGCAGCATATACTATCAGTACATCATTGAAGTCATTCATCAAATAAAGTTTGGGTATTAATCTGATCTCTGAGTGACTCCATAAGCCATGTCTAATGCATCTGAAGGCCTAATACAAAGACAGCCGCGAAGATCACTTCTCCCTAGGGACAGAATGAGGGTCCAAGACCGCTTTTTCAGTGGCTCAGAAGTCAGGATACGTAACCAAAGATCAGACGCTACAAAAATCCACCCCACAGAGCTCCTCCTGGAGGAAGGATGAGAGAAACAGCACACAAGAGACTTCAGCCACGCCACTTAAAGGGAATACTGCTGCTCTGGAGGCACTATCAGACCTCAGCCTCCCACTCTCAAAACAAGTGTCACAGGACTGGTGAAAACAATTTAGAAGAAAGACACAACAGTTCAATCACATCAAATACTCAGAAAGATAGCATAGTCACAACACTGTGTAAGGCAACTGGCACCCTTGCCTAAATCTACGCTTGTTAACACACATCCCCAGATTATTTCACAGGCCGCTTCAGGTTCTTTCTAGGAACAACTGCAAACACACATACCAGAGTGTTCCCCAACCAAGCAAACATATTTTGATCCGTTATGATCTCTTTGAAAAAAAAAAAAAAAAGGATGAGTAATTTAAGTGCAGGAAGAGGTTGCGAGACCATTCGGATGTGAAGATGACACTGTTACCAACCAACGACTGGAGCGACTTCCTGAATAAGTAATAATGGAGGTGAGTCTAAGAATACACCTATCACACCTACATGAGTAAGCCAGCCAACTCATTACAAAAGGCAAGCCTTGTGCCAAAGCCTTCCCTTCCTCCCAAACAATGAGGCCAAACCGAACGTGACTCAAATCTATTATTCCCCAAGCTACAGGTTATTTTGGTCCTGTGGAACAAAGTTTCAAACCTTGACCTGGAGAGGCCAAGAGGCACCAAAGGTGCACGTTAGTCAAGCAAAGACACCGTTCAAAATTTTCTTCAGTTTGACAGAGGCCAAAGGGCATGGAATGTGAGATGCAGGAGCCACAACTGAAACAGTTAACTGCTGGGAGAAGCGAGCTGGTGGGGACAATATTTTGCCAGGGATCAAACAGACATCAAGTGCAGAGAAGTGTGGCTGATACAGAGTATCCTCTGCACACTCTAAGGTCTTCCAGTTGCTTGCTTTAAGAAAAAAAGGGCAACTCCTCCTTCTCCAGTTGTTTTGATAATTTAAGTCCGCTGCCTTCAGTTCTTTTGTGGGACAGCTGTGCCAGATTTTTTACTCGCTGTATGCACAAGAGTGGAAATAACAACCACAAAAGTTTTTTTGTATGAACAGGAAGGCTGAGAGAGGAATTGAAAGCATTTATCTACCTTCACCCATTATGTGTTGCCGTAGCCTTTTGAAGGCTGCCTTCTGAAAGTTTGGAGAGGAAAAAAACAGGAGTAGAAAAAATAATCATGTAAAACAAGCCTGAAGCCCATGAAGTTCTGAGGAAAACACAGCCTTTATCCTGAACTAGCCATCGATGAGGGCAGCTATCGAGGGATGGCTGGAAAGCCCCTTCCTTTGAAATAAGTATCATCATAGAACTGTAGAATGGTTTGGCTTGGAAGGAACGTTAAAGATCACTCAATTCCAATGCCCTGCCATGGGCAGGGACATCTTCCACTAGACCAGGTTGCTCAGAGCCCCATCCAACCTGGCCTTGAACACTGCCAGGGATGGGCTATCCACAGCTTCTCTGGGTAACCTGTTCCAGGGCCTCCCCATCCTCAAAGCAAAGAATTTCTTCCTAATCTCTAATCTAAACCCTCTCTCTTTCAGTTTGAAGCCATTACGCATTGTCCTATCAGTTTAAGATCTTTAAAACAGTCTTGCCCCATCCTTCCTGTGAGTTCCCATCAGATCCTGGAAGGATATGGAAACACAGACCAGACGATGTCCAGAGGTCCCTTCCAACCGCCACATCCCCGTGATTCTGTGACACACACATACAGAGAAGAGCCACGGGGGCACCCCGGAGCGGCAGGGGCGAACTCCTGCCCTTCCCTGAGGTCCCGCAGGAGGCTCTTTTGGGGCTAAAAGAGCAGGTTCCCAGCGAGGCGACGGCCTTGCCCGGGCCGAGCCCGAGCCCCCTCCCGCAGGCCCGGCCCCGGCCCGGCCCCACCGCGCGGCCCGGGGGGGGGGGGCGGGAAGGCCCTACCTTGAAGTACCCGCCCTCGTACAGCGTGTTGGGGGGCCCGAAGATCGCCACCTCCCAGTTGTAGAGGTCGGACTCGTCGACCAGGGTGATGCGGAAGCCCTCGACCGGCTCCTCCTGCAGCGACTTCAGCTCCAGCATCAGCGCCTTCTGCGAGCTGCTCATCTGCTGCTGGGCCATGGCGCGGCGCGGCCCCCGCCGCGGCCGCCCCGCGGGTGCCGGTGCCGCTGTTGCCGGTGCTCCCGGTGCTCCCGGTGCTGCCGGAGCCGCCCCCGCCCCTCCCCGCGCTGACGGACCCGCCGCCGCCACTTCCTTTTGTGACGGCGCCGCTCGCGCTGACCTCAGCGCGCCGCGCCGGACACGCCCCCACCGCGCGCGGGACACGCCCACACACACACACCCCGCCACCGCCGCGCGCCACGCCCCGCCCCTTTCGCCGCGCGCTCTTAAAGGGGCCGCGACCCCCCCTTTCCCCCCCCCCCCCCCCCCGCACCAGGAGAGAGCCGTGACCGGGGGAGGGGGAAAGGGGGAGTCACAGAATCACAGGGTTGGGTTGGAAAACACCTCCGCGATCGTTCAGCCCAACCTGTGACCGACCCACCACGTCAACCACGCCTGGGCACTGAGTGCCGTGTCCAGTCTTTCCCTGAACAGTCTCCAGGGACGGTGACTGCACCACGTCCCCGGGCAGGGCAGCCCCTTCCAGCGTCTGGTCAGGCTTTCTATGGAGAAGTCCCTCCCAGTGTCCGACCTAAACCTCCTCTGGCCCAGCTTGAGGCTATAAAGAAGCTGTTAGTGAGCGTCCACAGAGATGGTGAAGGGTCTGGAGGGGAAGCCATGTGAGGAGCAGCTGAGGGCACTTGGTGTGTTCAGCCTGGAAGAGACTGAGGGGAGACCTCATTGTGGTCTCCAGCATCCTCATGAAGGGAAAGCAGAGAGGCAGGGACAGATCTCTTCGCTCTTGTAACCAGTGACAGAACCGGAGGAAATGGCATGAAGCTGAGTCAGGGGAGGTTTATGTTGGATATCAGGAAAAAAGTGTTGGTTGGGCACTGAAACAGGCTCCTCAGGGAAGTGGTCACAGCATCAACAATGACAGAGTTCAGGAAGTGTTTGGACAATGCTCTCAGACACATGGTGGGATTCTTGAGGTGTCCTGTGCAGGGCCAGGAGTTGGATACGCTGATCCTGATGGTTCTCTTCCAACTCAGCGTATTCCATGGTTCTATGAGTTTATGTCCTCTCATCCTGTCACTGGTTGCCTGGGAGAAGAGCCCAACCCCCACCTGGCAACAACCTCATTTCAGGTCATAGAGAGCAATAGGGTCCCCCCAGAGTCTCCTCTTCTCCAGGCTAAACACTCCCATCTCCCACAGCCACTCCTCCTAGGACATGCGCCCCACACCCCTCACCAACAGCTTCGTTGCCCTTCTCTGAACCTGCTTCAGCACCTCGATGTCCTTTATGAATGGAGGAGCCCAGAACTGGATACAGCACTCGAGGTGTGGCCTCACCACAGGGGAATGATCACTTTCCTGGTCCTGCTGTCCACACTGTTGCTGATACAGGCCACGATGCCATTGGCCTTCTTGCCCACCTGGGCACACTGCTGGCTCGTGTTCAGCTGGCTGTTGACCAGCACCCCCAGGTCCTTTCCTGCTGGCAATCCCATCATCCCCAGCCTGGAGCATTGCAGGGGGTTGTTGTGACCCAAATGCAGGACCTGACACTTGGCCTTGTTGAACTTCATACGGTTGGTCTTGGTCCATCAATCCAGCCTGTTCAGATAGTCACAGGTCAGGTGAGTACAGTGGGGTGTGGCTGGCCCACTGATGGACACCCATGATCACAAATCAGCTCTTTTTGTACAGAGGATGGTTTTTGAGGAGCGAATTTGCGTGACTGAGGGTCCCCTAAAAATCTTGCAGCAGCCCCCCAGGAACAACAGGACATGAACAGGCAGCTGGCACCCCCCACAAAACCCATGTGGTTTTTTCACATTCTCCATGGATGTGCAACATGGGCACCCCAGAACAAGCCATTTTGAGTACTTCTCCCATTCTCCATCTGGGTTAAGGGTGAAAAATGATTGCAAAGGCATTGAGGTATATCGACCAGTGAACGTGAGCCAGAGCCTGTTCCTTAGCAAGTCTTTAATGAATAACATAAATAATGTTCATTATAAAAATAAAGAAATAAAAATAACAGTAATTGTCTAGGAGTAGGACAACCCATTTGTGCTTGGCATTTCTTTCATCCTTCTGCACGTGGCAGGGCTTAGGCCACCTCACAGAGGCACCTGCTTCTTGGACAAACAGGTTGGATGATGTGTCCCAACATCCCTACAGCATTACGTAGCTTTAACCTTCTTCCTTGCCCCCATCACCTCTCATGCTTCTCATGCTTTCCCATCTTGATGACAACCCTGTGGGCAAGGATGACCGTTGGATCAATCTCCTGAATTTTTCAGAGCTGCGGGCTTTTCCAAAGGTATGGGACAGACAGTGAGGGCCACCTGCATTGGTGGGAGATCATGCAGCTGTGCCAGTTTGGAAGTCTACTTGGCACTTGACAGCCATGACTCTGGCTCCTTCTCCATACCTTAGCCCAGAGCGGAGAACAGAAGGCAGATGTTTTTCCCCAAGTACCAGCTGCTACCAGGACAGATTTGTTGTTGCCCAATGACAAGCATGGCATCCTCCCCCTTGTCCCTGGGGCTCCTCTTCTCGTCCTTCTCTTGTTTCTTGAGCTTTCCCCTGTTCCCCTCTCCAAAGATGCTCCAGCACTGCCAGTGGTATCCAGTCCAGGGCTTGTGACTGCCTCCAGGCTGTAAAATATCCTAGTCCTTGCAAAATCCCTCCTCACTGTGAAAAATGTTCCTGTGGGGACTGGTGTTGCTTTCCTCATGAGATGAGATGAGCCCTTGCTCAGTGCCACAGAGGTAATACGGATAAGCGTCCCTTGTCCATTCATAGCTTGCCTAGGTATGCTGAAAAAAGTATGTGTTCCCCTACCTGTGCCTCCCTGCAGGCAAAGGTCAGCCACTGTTTCTCATTCTTTGCTGCCTTGGAGTGAGCTCAGATTTACAGAAAGCTGATTAATTCAGCTCTCACATCCTCAGATGGGGGCTGGACGGCTAGGATATGAAATGCTGTTTGTCAGAGAAGCTCCTTGGTGGCTGGGAAGTACCATGCTGGGTGCGTTTTCTGGTGGAATTTCAGTCCTATGTTCTTTTTATTCATGACAACAGAACAGAAGAGGAAAGAACGGGCCATTTCTGTTGAAAGATACCTACAACTGCCTGACCAATTCAGGGCTGATCAAAAGTTCAAGCATGTTTTTAAGGGCATTATCCAAATGCCCCTTAAACAGCTATAGGCTGGGGGCATCAACCACCTCTCTAGGAAGCCTGTTGCGATGCCTGCCCACCCTCTCTGCAAAGGAGTGCTGCCTGATGTCAAGTCTAAACCTCCCCGGCACAACTTTGAATTATTCCCATGTGTGCTGTCACTAGATACCAGGGAGAAGAGCTCAGCACTTCCCTCTCCACTTCCCCTCCTCAAGAGTCTGTAGAGAGCAACACCCTCAGGCCCCCTTTCTCCAAACAAGACATGCCCAAAGTCCTCAGCTATTCCTCACAGGGCATTCCTTCCAGCCCTTTCACCACCTTTGTTGCCCTCCTTGGGACATATTCAAGGATGTTCACATCCTTCTTAAATTGTCTTGAGTTGATGGACATAACACATGCTGTGACCTTCTGTGTTGGTGCCAGCCAGCAAAAACCTGCTCTGATAACAGGGCATCCCAGCTTGCTGGTGAAACGTGCGTTTGCTCATGCTCAGAGGAGAATGTGCAGGAGCTGAGCTCTTTTGGGATTGCACTGCCCCTATTTCTATGGTAATCAAAACATCTTTCCTTGCAGCCAGCCTCCAGCACAGGCTTTGTCTGAACCAGCCTAACACTGGGAGAGATGGGAGAAGCAAAGTTTGGAGTTATTCAGGATTTATCTCTGCCTGCTGCCTGTCTTGAATGCTAACGAAAGAGGTAATCATGCAAGGCAAAAAGTAAAGCAAGCCCTAGTGTACTCAGTAGGGCAGACTGAAAATTTTCCATTGGGTCTGCTTTTAGAGAGAATATTCGTCTTTTTCTCTCTGAGTTTTTTCCCCCTCTCCTGCAAAAACATTCTGTGCTCAAAGAAAACAAAAACTGTTGAAGCAACAGAGTGTTTTGAAGCCTGGGCAGCCTGGCAGCCCCCTCCAAGGCTCCTGCCTGCATTTCTGCCTGTGCTCCCAGGGAGGCTCAGCTGCTCTTCCTGGTGTCCCCTTTCCTGGGCCCAGGCTGCTCTGAGGCTGACACAACTTTTTTGATTTATCATACGGCATTTCTCCCCTCTGATAACCCCTGATAGATCATAATGAAAAGATGAAATATTGTTCTCCTCCTTCTCCTCCTTTAGCTGTTTTCCTGTGGATGGTCATTGCTTGCCTGCAAGCAGGGCTCTCCACGAAGGGTGGTCTGCCACAAACTGTGTTGTTCCCTCTTTTATTTTATTTTTACCTGAAGGAATCAGTTTTTCTTTGGTCTCAGAGAAAAAGAAATAAGGTTTGGTGTAGGAACACGTGGCTCCAGAATGGGAAAATCTCACTGGGAGGGGAGGAGGTTACATGTGCCATTAATCCAACCCTCAGCACCAGAACTTGTCACTGTAAACTAGACCTCAAGGTGCCATTGGTGCAATAGGTAAATCTGAGAATAAAACTTCTCTTTAAGTAATTTCTGGTTTGTTCTCATCATCTGTTTTTAATATCTCTTTTCCTCATTTCTTTCTTCCTTCCTGTGAGCAGTGTTGATGGAGACTGAGAGTTAACTCCTCTGCTTAGCAACAGCAGAAGCTTTGAAAATGTAAACCTGTCTTGGTGTCACATTAGAGGATTCCTGCTCCATAAGTCTGTCAGAGGGAGGGGACAAGAGCGGGGAAGATGTGGGAGGTCCTCCCATTCCTGGGACAGAATCATCTCACACAATACTCTTCACTGCTTTATCTAATTTCTTTCCTGAGTGGCTCAAAGGATGAGATACCTGCTCCTTCCCTGAGAGGAGTGGACTCACCTGGGATAAAAGATGACTCTGGGGACTCTGGACTGGCTTTAATACCGTTTCACTCTCAGCACGTCAGATAGTGAAGTGATGAAGAAGATAAGGCAGAGAGTAAGGAGTTCTGCCGAGCTCACACTTCCCCCCAGGAGTCCTTTGTAACTCAAAGCACCAACAGCTATTCCTTGGGCTCTACTGAAGCAGAGCAGGACACCAGGAGGTCCACCTTACCACACTCCTGCC